CCATGGAGTCAAGAGCCAGGGCACCAAGTGCTGAGAGACCGGGGATTGGAAAGAGACTTGGCTACCACATAACTGAAAGAGAGAGACTTGACTGCTTGCTGAGAAGACCAATGATGGCTTTTTCACTGCTTCCTAATCCGGACTGGTGTTACCTATTGACTTCCCTAATAACCCCCCACAATTGTGAGTTATTGCCTGTGAGTTCTCTGGGGCCATTGCAGTGAATTATGGAACCCACCAAAGATATAGAGTCGTGTAGGAGGAACAATTGGTGTCAGAATAGTCAACTAAGGCCTATCTGACTTGCCTGTGACAATAGGGAAGCCAAAGGAAGTCAGTATATCTACCTCCATTACCATTTACTGCATAGTTGCTGATCAATGCTTAATAATCACACAGGACACTACCTGTAAATAGCAAGCACTATTTACTAAATCAATCAACTGAGGTAATGTTTTCCTAAAATTGAATGACGTATTCTATCATAACGTAGGATTTACAAATCCTAGCATTTGGTTTATTTTTCCATTTCTTTTGTACATATCTGAAGTGTATAATTTAGTAAAATTTGACTTTAGATATTGGTCTCTCCACTTCTGGAAGAAAGAAGAGTAGTGAAAATTGAATACCTGAAATAGTTAGTCCCATGGACCTGAACATCAGTCATGACAATGCCCCGCCCCATAAGGCCAGAAGTAGATTGTGCCTGGCTGCCATTACCAATGGTTCAGTACTATTACCAATGGCTACTATTACCAATGGCTCAGTAAAATGTCACATTAGCAAGTCTTGGCTAGAGAAAGGGGAAAATATGGAACAGAATTCAAAACCATAGGAGACTAGTTTATTGATCAGATAGAGACTAATGGGACCCCAAAGACTGTGGCCCTTAGTTACCCTTGAAGTCTGGACCTGAACTCACTCTTGTGTTATCCTGTCAACTATTTAAGATTTAAAAAGCAGCCTCTACCCAAGGACAGAGAACTGGGAAAGCAGAATGATTGAAAACAAAACAACTGAGAGGAAGTGTGATAAATAATGGTACATTGAGGGCATTTAAATGGATAAGTTGAAAAAAAATAGGTAGTCATTGTTAAATGTAAAATTGATTATCTGCTCTATAAGTGTTCACCTAAATCAAAATAAAGTTTTGGAAAAAGAAAGAAACACTAGGGGTGGAGCACGTCGGCGACCCCTGTGTGGAGGATCTAGGTCAAGACCAAGAGCCAGGCAGAGCAGAGGGCCTGCCAACCCAAGCAATGAGTAAAGCTGAGCGCTTTGGGCAGGAGGCTGGCTTGCAGCGTGAGATGCCCTGAGGGCATTTAAAGTGTTAAAGGAGTACAGTGAACCCTCGTTTATCGCGGTTAATCGGTTCTAGACCCTACCGTGATAAATGAAATTCCGCGAAGTAGGATTCCTTATTTGTAAATCAAATATTTTCGTAGTTAGAGCATAGAGGACATGAAAAAACACCCTTTAGTCACCATTACACTCGTATTACCCAATTTATTAAACGAAAAAGGGAAAATGCAGTAAAACATTTTGGACGTTTCAATTATCATTTATTATTTATTATATTATGAAGTACAACGGATGGAGCGAATGGAAGACTCATTCAAGTCGAAATGGCGTGCAACCTCCACGATTTTCTTGCCATCTTTGATCATATCCAAAAGTTTTACCTTTTCCTGGATGGTGAGCATCTTCCTCTGGCGCTTATTTTTATTGTCAGAAGGCTTAGAAGAAGCAGCTCGTTTAGGAGCCATCATAGGGCTTAGATAAAATTTCTTAAAAATCGCAAACAATTACAGTACACTGTACAAAAGCAAAAATGCATCTGATCCGTAGCTCCGATACATAGCGATGCAGACAGAAGCGTGTACAGTATGAGCCAATCAGTGGCAGTAATGACAGAGCATGCACTGTTACACAAAAACCGCAATAGAGTGAAGCCGCGGAAGTCGAAGCGCGCGCGAAGTGGCGAGGGTTCACTGTATTGTAATTCTTGCCTGAGCAGGGCAGAAGCCAAAAGGACTGAGGCTGAGTGGCCTAGGACCAGAAAGACAATCTGCCAGCTTGGCTGAGAAGAGGAACCATGAACAAAGCAACTGTATGCTTAACATTTTTTTAACCAGTTAGCTTCTGGAATAAGCACCATAGGGGCAAAAATGTTAGATGAAAACTATCATGTAAGAACTTTCATCTGTGTCAACACAGCGTTTTCCAATGAGTATTTGTGTGTCTTGTATCAATCTGACCTATTTCCTTTTTGGTCATTCACCTTTTAAAAGAGAGGCCCCCCCCCTCCCTTTAGTTAGCTATCTCCTAAAAGTTCATGGAATGTAAAAGAGCAGAATTGGGTTCCAGCTATTTACAATTTTCTTTAGGATCCAAGATTTTATATGTGAGTCATTTTAACCTTCATGATTTCTCAGCAAAGGAAAAGGCCAGGTGTGGGTTGTTTCTTTGTTTTTGTAATTTTAAATGACTGCTTCTTGTTAAAAGGGCTGATTGTTGAGAGAGCTGATTTAACCTTGGTTCTTCTGATTCTTCCAGCTGCCCGGAAGCATCGACCAATAACCCACGTGCCACATTCCTCAATACAAGATAGGTGTTTTGCACCCCAAGGTATGTTCTTCACCTTATAGAAGTATAGTTTCTGAGAGTTACATCTGTAGTATCATTTTCTTCTTTCTCCTTTCCTTCATGCTCACTCTTCAGTAATTTTAAGAGCCCTTGTGCCTACGTGGGGAGTTAGTGTGGTCCCATGGAAAAGTTAATTTGCACTTTGTTTGTTTCTTCTTTTACTTATTCTTTTGGATGATTTGGGGGGGTTTGGCAGAAAAAGAGGGAAAGCTGACTTAATGCCATTTCTTCAATTAGAAATTTTCTCAGGAGTTTTAAGAACTTATTTAAAATGCAATAGAGATGTATGCCTACATATTTTTCTTTGGGGGGAAGTTTACTAGATATCATAAGGTGTGCATCATCAAATTATTGAAGAAAAATAAAAACACACACAACAAAGCAAAAGGTTGAAAGAAAGAATGAAAGGAAGGAAAAATAAAGAGAATAACAAGGAAGAATGCAAAACAAAAGTGTTTCCCCCAAAATAGGAAGTGGAACAAATATATTAGTTATGACATTAAAGGGAATAGCTTAACCTCGTACTTACAATAAATACTTGTAAACTAACTTAAAAAGACAAATATAAACTGTTTATAAGAATGTTGACAG